ACCTCCCAATCCTAGTAGCATAGAATCCTACCAATCATCGTAACCTAGAATCCTAGAATCCTAGAATCCTAGAATCCTAAGAATCCTAGAATCCTAAGAATCCTAGTATCCTAGAATCCTAGAATCCTAAGAATCCTAGAATCCTAGAATCCTAAGAATCCTAGGAATACTAGAATCCTATGAATACTGGAATCCTAAGAATCCTAGAATCCTAGAATCCTAAGAATCCTAGAATCCTAGAATCCTAAGAATCCTAGAATCCTAGAATCCTAGAATCCTAAGAATCCTAGAATCCTAGAATCCTAAAAATCCTAGAATCCTAAGAATCCTAGAATCCTAGAATCCTAGAATCCTAGAATCCTAAGAATCCTAGAATCCTAGAATCCTAAGAATCCTAGAATTCTAATTTTTAGGATTTTGTACGCAAGATCATGGGCAAGATCTTAGGAACAAAAATATTTTGACACCGTGTACCAAAGATCTTGCCAAGATCTTTTCGAAAAAAGCTAAGATGTCAAGATCTTGGTTCCAAGATGTTCGACTAGGGATGACCATGAACCAAATAATATAGGTTATATATCCTGCTATAATAAAATGCTGGTTGATTTTGGCAATCAAAATCATCAGATGACTCAAGCTCTTCTTTCAAATACTTTTCATAGTAATATTCAGCTTTATGATAAGTTTTTACGATAATTGATGAATAGTAATCTCCTATAGTAACACATGTCGTAATAGTAAGTGGCTCATAGTTGACTCTTGCTTGTATTCTATTATAAAATATTTCTTTACCAACTATTTTTGATAGATAATAATTTGTCACATTACGGAAATTTATTTACAGTGTGGGAACGAATCCTTTATTCGTTTTTCAATCTCAAAAAGTTACAAACAAAAACAATGCAGCACAGTCATAGTTGTCTTTCTAATCCTATTATTTTGCTCGTTAACCTTAAAGGAGCATCAAGATTAAACCGATTGTCTTTTTGTGCTCTTGCGAAACAAAAGCCGATCCTCTGATCTTTATCATAATCCTTTTTCTCTTTTTGTGACAATGTTCTTACTCTTCTGTCTCATTCTGTCTCTTGTTTTTATTTTTTTAAGGCCCTCCTGATCAGAAAGACTCATTTTCATGTTTTGAAAGCACACATAGATAAATATCCTGAAGTATCATCTTTTAGAATATGTGCTCCTTTCGTCGAGATTCGATTGTTTCGATGACCAAATTCTTGTTTTCCCGAAGGCCCCAAACAACAGCCAAAAGCGAATGGTAGCCAGATGTCGCTTGAAACTGATCAGATTCCATTTTGACCAACATAATTATGTAGATCAATCTCTCTTCTACAAAATGAGACGTTCATCGCAGTATTTCATACTTGCCTGACGGAGTTATGAACGATTTACTGACAGTCTCAATCATACCACAAGATGACTCATTTTTCTCAAAAAGTGCTTTTTTCAGTGGGGAAGATTTTGCGCAGCAGTGGAGCAACGTCGAGCGGAACACTTTTTTTTGTTGGCTAGCTGTTGAAAAACTGAAGCGATTGATGTTGGCGTTTTTCAATCTATTGATCCGAAGCAGAAATATAAATTTTTTACTGCAATTTTGTGAAGCTTTTTTTCGTGTGTCACCTCGAGATGCACACCAAAAATCAATGAAGCAAAACCTTCGAAAAAGCCGAACGTCAGCCGCTTTATTTAAGTATTTTCTAGCAACTAAAATTATTTTGAGAGCTATATACATACCATATCAAAATTTGATGTTTATTTTCTAGAGAAGCGACTTTCGAGAGATTTTTACATATTCGGAATCAGCGCGACTAGTTACGTTGTACGGCTCAAAGATCTCGTCGGGATCCCGACACTTTTTGGACTCGGATTCTCCACTGTGGATGGATTTTCACGGGATATTACACTATATTCAACAGTAGACATCAACGATGCCGCTTTTTTCCCGTTCTCTTTGATGTTTCATTTTTCTTTCTTTTGATGTTTTTTCTTTCTATCACACTACAGAGACAGATATAAAGCAAGAAATGGAGAAACGAACAAATTTTATCGTTTTATTGAAAAGAAGGATTCTACTCACTATGAAATTAGTGTTTACTCTGGCAACTTCCCAAATTAAAAAGTTAACAAATTTGAAGGGACCCCTCTCTAGTTTTTCTGCCAGTTTGTGGTACACAACTTGTACCCTATACCATGCTATTATTTAGAAAAAGGTACCGTTTAGTCTTTTAGTTATAAGGCTGCCAATATCACAGCTAAACGCATGAAAAAGCAGGTATCTACGTCAATATAAATGCCAAATGAGTTTTTAGAGAACTTTCTGATCTACCATAACTTTCCGGCTTTCTCTTCGGGCCATCGTAGCCAGAGATAATGTATGTAAAACAAATAAAAACAGTTACAATTATCCATAGTCAGTATCTTTTTGAAACAGCTATTAATAATCAATGAATAAGAGTGTTGAATGATGAATAATAACTACTCATCCATTACCGTTATATTCATCATTGTATAACGAAACATTCATATCTATATAATCCACGTAAGTAGTTCAATTGGATGAAACTTAGATGCGTTTTTCTTTCTTTGCACACTATAGAGAGACAGATATACATATATTGAATGAAACAACGAAATATATTAATTTTGATGATGGTGGATAGGATTCTAGGATTCTAGGATTCTTAGGATTCTAGGTTTCTAGGATTCTTAGGATTCTAGCATTCTAGGATTAAACATTATTATAGAGAGTATATATTCTGTACTTATCATTGTATTTTATTTATTATCTACTTTACTTTCATTAGTTCCGTGTGTTTCTATATGTCAAATAATCTTCGATGTTAAATTACACTGGAACCAAATACAAAAATAATTTTTTTGATCATTCCATTTTCTCTTCGACATTCCAACTATTTGTGTGTTTTGATAACGATAAACTAAAGTTTACTGTCACATATTTTTTTCAATAAATAATCAAGAAATCAAAATGATTTCTAGAAATATGTTAATGTTTAGTTTATTGTACTTCGTGTAAAGATGCGAGAATAACGAAAACAAGCGAAACATTATAGATAAATTCGGTAGATTTTTCTTCAAGTAAGTTAATTAATATACAACGGAAAAAAAATGTTCAGACTGGTTTGCTCAATCCTCCTTTGTAACCAATATCTTCTTTTTGAATATTTTCGCTGACATCAGAGTCTTTTCATTCTGTTCAGATTCCTTCTCGTTCTACAATGGATACTAATATCAATCAAAATAAACCGTATACAGTTCAAGTTACCGACGAACAAAATGTTCTCATTATACTGTTGGAAAAACTGACCATTGCACAGATCAATATAATAGTCAAATTGAATGAAGTAATTCCGGATGCATTAAAAAGAAAACGAGTTCACATCACACAAATGTTAAATTTATATTATCAAACGAGTTTTGATCAATCAGATATTGATTTGATAATAACACTTATGCAAGGTCAACCACAAGTATGTCATCTCGGTTATTTTGTCCTGGTGTTTTCTATCTTCTTTCTCTTGATTAAACAGTATTTTTCGACTGGTGTAGTAGATTTTTCATGCTTATAATGATAGCAGTTGTTTCCACCTTTTAGTTGAAAGAAAAACTTGTGATTGATAGTTGTGCGATAGATGAAATAGTGAACAAATATAGAACATGTACGACAATTGATAACACTGTAAGTATTGATTATTACTGTGTTGCTTATATTTCTTTGTTCATTTCCTGTTATACCTTTATTTATCGGTGTTTTAGTCTCATATCAATGTGATAAACCTAAAACCATTCACAACAGCTTGCATTAAATGCAAACAATCAATGAAAATTGAAAATGAACCCAAAAATGTTACATTATTCACCGTCGAATCTGTAAAAAGTTGTTCAATTTTTAAATGTACGTGTGATACATGTAAAATTGATTATTATTCAAATCATTATGAAAATAAATACACAAAAAAAAAATATGTATCATCAACAGCAATCAAAAATAATGAACAAATATATTTTGGTGGTGAAACAGCATTTGATTATAACCTATTCATTACATATTCATCAAATTTAATATATTGCCACTCACCGTTCAACGGATTTGTTCAATCGTACGGTTGTACGACACAAACAATTCGACAACGCAATACCCAACAATGTGACCAAAACAATTTGAAAAAATTAGATGCAAAATTATTTCAAAACTCCTGGTTAATTTTCGAATTGTCCAGATTTTTCTTTTTTATGAATAGTAGCGATTATTTTGAAATACCAGCATCTTACGAAGGTATTCAACGAGGAAAAGAACAAAAATAGGCAGAGAACAGAAAAGTCCTGTTTTTCTTTGTAGGACCAGAGCGAGACTCTTTCTTACGAAATTCAAACGAAAAATTATATGCTCAATTCGTTGCATTGTGGACACACCATCATTTAATAAAAAATAAAACATGCAATGAAAATTGTTCACATGTGTTTTTGACCGACGGCCATCAAAAAGCCGAGAGAAGAATCTGTAATTTCGACAATGTTTGTGATATTACCATTCCGGAACTAGGACCGATATTAATCGGCTGTCCTGAGACACCAAAAAGAGACAATAGTAAGTGATTTAAAACTGACAAAAAGTTATTCTCCATACATACTTGTCCTCTTCTTTTTCTATCTTTTTGTTTCTTCTCGTTCAGGTTTAAACAATAAATATTATTGTGAGTATCATCAACCGAAATCTTCGTCAACTCAGCAACGACCAACAGAGTTAAATACAAACACAAATGATAATAACCATAATCAATCATTATATGAAGAAGCCATAAAAAACAATTCAATTGATAATAAAATAACTGAAAATACTTATTTAGAATGTAATGTCACGCGTGATGAACATCGAGAAGGATCAAAAAAATTAACAAGTTCCGGGTTTCTTGCCACATTTTTCAACTGCGGCGTCATTGTGGGCTTTGACGAGACCCCTCGTGCTGAGGGTATACGTCGTGTACTTCGACATCTAATTCGCAGTCGCAACAATGGTTATTTGCCACCAGCCATGCTCTATGATACAGCATGCACTCTTAAACTTTTTATCAACAAATGGTTTGGCACGCAGTATCTAACTGAGACGGATAATTCAAGATTCTTTAAAAATATGAATTTAGCTATCGACCGCTTTCATTTACCGGGACATACGAGGGAGATGTGCAGGAAAGAAATGGATCCAGATAATGCATGCCATAATGGAGTCTTTCAAAATATAGACTCACAGATCTGTGAACGAACATTTTCGTACCTAACCAATTTTAAACATGCATTTCGTCAATTTGGTTACCCTAAATCGGTTACATTCTACTTACTTTTGTTTCATCTTAAAAACTGCCAAACGATTGGTATCTCACCAGACAATCAAGGTCTTGGTCACAAAATTATTCCGCCCAAATATCGTCGTTAACACTGTACCCTTTGAAATTAAGTAAAACTTTAGTTTCGTCACACTATCACAAATATGTGTATTTTGCTAACTTTTTAAGATTTATCATCGTTTATTCGTTCATCAATGATAAAACACGATAACACAATAAAATAAAAATAGAATACTAATGCTACTAAAAGACAACTTCTCTTTTAGACTTGTCTTAGAAAAAGACAAAACTAAGAATCCTAGAATGCTAAGAATCCCAAGAATCCTAGAAGCCTAAGAATCCCAGAATCCTAGAATGCTAAGAATCCCAAGAACCCTAAGAATCCTAGAATCCTAAGAATCCTAGAATCCTAGAATCCTAAGAATCCTAGAATCCTAGAATCCTAAGAATCCTAGAATCCTAGAATCCTAAGAATCCTAAGAATCCTAGAATCTTAGAATCCTAAGAATCCTAGAATCCTAGAGTCCTAAGAATCCTAAGGATATCATAACCTCACAAAGTTTTAAATTTTCGATTTGCGGCAAGCCAAATTTTAATAGAAAATTTGACTTTGCAGCAAAGGGAAGTTCTCCATGTTATGCAAAAACTGCCATGGTAGCATTCGGGACATATACAAATAAAGTCAGATGCATCATTCGGATTACCTTGTAAGCACTGACCACCCGACGAGCAACGATCACCCTGATCACTTGTTCTCTGGAAACGAAAACATTCCGCTCGATTGTGCATGTTACATACACAAAAGTAACAACTGCACCCTTCTCATACACTTTCTTTTGTCGAACTATCAAATCCAATGTTGCAGACTCAATATGAACAAGTTCAACGATCGATGCCAGTATCCAAGATGACAGTTTCTGAGTGAATGTAGAATTGGTCACAAATCGGATGGTTATTCGAGCTGACTCAAATTCCCAATGATCACAAATACAGATATAATCATGTTTTCTCCCATTAACCACATAACACTTTCCATTGTTCAAGCATGGATTCCTGTTCTGAGTCATATCACATGAGCGACGGACATGACATGTTGAACCATAGCGATCTAATGAACAGAGACACTGTGGTTTCGCGTGTGGTCTGCACAGAGCTGTTGGTGAACAGTTCTTGTTTGTTGAGCATACATCACTGGAATGGTCGCAGTTTTTACCATATGAAGAATCACCATAATAACAATAATAGGCATTCGAATCATTGATGTGGTTCATTATCGGAAAGCATGTGGTCCCATTGAAACACGGACTGCTGTAGTTACATATGTGCTGATTTGTTTGCTGTGTGTGAAGCTTCAGCACTTTTACTAAGCGCAGAAAATCAAACCGAATCAGATATCGCCAAACAGCTACTAATCTTATAGGCTTAAGTTGGAAAGCTTCGAAGCGTATATGATAAGAAGGATTGGTTGAAAGTGCACGTGGTCTTGGATAGACAAAATATAATTTTCTTTTCTTTTTCCGATCTTTCAGGTCGAGAGTAAAGTGAGTCTCATGATAGTCAAGGATAGTTTCATTAGCCAGAAATGAGATGAGAACTTTGATTGTTGAGTCATTTGACAGACCATTTGACTTATAGATATCTTCTAACTTCTGAAAGTGGAAGAACACTGTTACACGATCACGAATACTGGCAATAACGTCCAAAAGTACTGGGAGGACAAAAGCATTTGATGGTCTGATGATTGAATAAAATCTTTCGAATTGCTATTCCTCGGTTACAAGCCCATCCCTCCATTGAATAGCTCTGTGTCCACTGTTGCTGACGTAGTCGCTTGTCTGTAATATCTGTAAAAAAATAAAAATTTTAATTTTAATTTTTATTAAATAAAGATGAATCTAAAAACAGCTGCTTTTACCGTCTTATCAATTTTAAAACTTCTACCTCTAAACTTCGATTTTCAATATGACTTTTTGCCGATCAAGAAAGCCGAATGATTATTCACTTCGATAACGATGATCAGAACAATTTTTTTGTCGCCCGATTATGAACTGAATTATTTGGAGATCTGAGGGTGAGGCTGTGTAGGGTAAGGGTGGGTGAGGGTGAGTGGGGGTGTGGGTGAGAGTGAGCACTTGGTGCTGAACGGTCGTTATTACTCAAATGTCGGGGCGCTCAAGTGTCGGTCGCTCAAGTGTCGGTCACTAAAGTG